AGAGTATTCATGATGTAAGAGTAGATGCTTCATCCGTTTCTGTAAAAATATTACTTGTCTTATGTTCACATTGATGTCTGATACCAAAATAAAGTCTACGTTGAAACTAAAGCAGTAAGAATTCAGTCTTATAACATACCTTACAGTCATATATGTCATGTGATTTATGACTATAGGTAAATTTAAATGGACTAAATTAGGTCAAAAGTGTACATACATGGAATGTACACATTCAGGAATGTCACATGGATGAAGCTGAATGGCATAAGAGTAAAGGGGAACTAGTTTTTATTTGAGCAGTGCCTGTCAAAGCCAATAGTGCAAGGATTTTAATGAATAAATAATGTTTTGCCTGAAACAATTAAAGGCAGCATAATTCACTGAAATTAGAGGGGAAATTTTCTTATTGAATTATATAGATGCAGAATGCTGCAGAAAGGTTTGGGAGATTGTAAGTCATCAGGTTTCAGGATTGAGTTATATTAAATAGACCTGATACTCTCACCCTCAAATCACATATATGAAAAAAATAATGCTTAAAAGATTGTAAACTATTTCATCCATGAGCTCCTTGTTAATCAACCTTCAGGGACATGACAGTTAAAGTTTCTATTGAGCCAGTTTGCTACCTTGTGAAGCAACTGGTGTGTTATATAACGCCATGATCCCATCCTCTGCCAAACAAACTTTGTTAGCAGATCATTTTAATATTTCTAGTCTAAAATAGAAATTATCGTGAACAACAATATAATTAGGAATTCCTTCTGCTTATGCACTTCCCTATATATAGTATCAATGGGTTTTACTTCAATATCCAGATTTAAACATAATATCAATGACATATAAAACTTAATGAAGGAAAAAAAAAAATAATGAAAATACAAACTCCAAGAGAAAGAAGCTGCAGAATTGATAAATCAAACACATCACTTATTTTTGTTGCTAATTCAATAAATGTAACTAAATAAGACATATATAATGTCTAAATGAAAGTAAAAATTGACTGTTTCTACAACTGCAGAAAATGGGGTATAATAAATACTATCCTACAATTTCTATTTCTCATAACATCTATACTAACCCTTAAATATATATCATGTGCTTACCATGTATTGTAGAATGAACAAACTTTTAATTTAACATTTTAGTGGGAAATGTCTTCTTACTGTTATATTTAAATTGCAATTAAAAAGATTTAATGAGCAAATATAAAGATTCAGCTACAGATAAAAGAGAGGAAATGACTGAAACGAAAGATCAGGTAATTGGCTATCTGTAATCTCTGGAAATTTTTATGACAAGTGACAATTATCTTTCATAAGGAGAATTTTCTCTATCACACATACACAAGTATACATACATATCTATATGATCTTTGACCTCATTCTATGTAACATCTATGAATACCTCATTAACATTTTCACCTTTTTCAGCATACACTCACTAATTATAAATTCAATTAAAAGATAAAAACATTTTAAAATGAAATGACCCATTCAATTTAGAGTGTTGAAAATATTCTGCCATTTACCAGTTTATTCAATTTATTAGCTGGAATTTTAAAAGCTCCCTAGTTTTATAAACATTTTAATCAAGGCAAATATGATGTATGTGCATAAATGTGTATCATGTTGCAAGAAACAATTTTAGGAAGTTTTATAGTAAATCTAAAATTGAAAAGTATATCTACATATAAAGCATATAAATGAAGAAGTTCCCTGGATGTTGGCTTCAAATTGAAGTTTTGATTATGCTATAAGTAAGACCAGATTATTTTAGGTTCATGGTGACATAGAAAAGGACACTATATATACCAGGGAATAGTGTTCATTTATGAGTCAGTTAATACTCTTAGGCTCATTACCATAAGGTTGGTAGAAAACTATGGCTAAATACAATTGATTTCTGATTAAGAGATTAAAGCTCAACAATAATTAAATTATTATTGCTAAATAGCTTTCAAGGGTGGATAAAAGTTTTATGGGACCTGAAACTCATAATCAGTGGGCCTCTACTTAAAAAAAAATCATTTTTTCATAAAGCTGATTTTCATACACACATACAACAAAAATTGAAAGGAAAAATTATTTTTTTAAGTGTCTGGCATTTTTGTATACCTAATCTCTATATTAAAAAATGTATATCTTACTAATACAATTTAGGTATACCTACACACATGTTATTTAAATTTTCTTCTAGGTTGTATTGACTGACATAATATGTAATGAGATTATCCTTATATAAAGACTATACTACCCCATAACATGCCACTTTGGCATAGGTTATTTAGTGCCAATGATTTTGAGAAAAGCAGGAGAAGATTGGGAAATAAAGTAGAATTTTTTCCTGTTTAGGGGAAATTTATATTTATGAAAGAAATCCCCAGTTTTAATTTATATTTATGAAAGAAATCCCCAGTTTTTCTCCAGGAAGAGAAAGATATCATTAAGTTTTAAATGACAAGAGATCTAGTCATTGGAGAAAATATTTACATAAATATGCATAAAAACCCTAATCCTTGTTTATCAAACTTTTCTGGTAATCATCTTAGAAATATCCTCCCCATAAAAAGTCTTTTGTCTGAAAGAGACATTACAAAAAACAGACATCCCACTGATTGGGAAAAAATTTTCTCACAAAACTAGAAATAAAGGATTAATCACAAAGATATACATAGAACTGATGAAATTCAACAAAAATAAAGTAAACAACCCCATCAAAAAGTGGGCAGAAGACCTTAAAAGACACTTCTCCAAAGAGGAAAATCAGATAGCTAACAAGCATATGAAAAAAATG